GTGGTGCTTGAGGACATGGTTTAGTGGTGGACTTGGTAGTGATAGGTTAACGGTTGGACTTGATGATCTTAAGGGTCTTTTCCAACCTTAATGATTCTGTGATTCTATGATTCTGTAAACAGGCAGAGCATTGTAACAGGGAGGATTGCGCAGCGGTGGGAGTAAGGAGAAGGGATTAATTTTTCCACTAGTTTCTAGTAGAGGTAGGTATCGAACTGCACTCTGGAGCAGTGTGTGGAGAGAGGATTTTTGAGAGGTGTTCTCCAGAATGAAGGCACAGTGAAAGGATCTTAGAAATAAAGTAGAAAATGAAAGAAAAAAAAAAAAAAAAAAAAAGGACTCACCAGCCAAAATGAAACTAGAGCTTGACAGCAGTCAGTCTCGATTACGAAGGGACCACAGTGTCCGTCCCTTTAGGTCTGACCCCACGTTGCCTCTGATGCCAGTTGTCTGTCAAGGTTGGCCTCTGCAGGAACAGGGCAGGCTGGGTGGGAGGAATCGCTGCCACATTGGTGCCAGAGGCCGCGCACAAAGAGCTTCTGAGGAGGGAAGGTGCTGGTGGTGGGAGCGACCTGCCGGGGAGCGAGTGCTTCCTGTGAGGGTCTAACCATGTTCCTTACTTTCAGTTCTCCTTCCAGGAAAATGGCTGGGGGGCATCCCTTGCTGAGAGACTGGTCAGGTAAGAGCTTAAATTTCAAAAGTAATTTCTGGCATGCAAGAAGTTGTGCAGCTTTTCTAAAAGAAAGCCAACACAAGTTAATATTTAATGTATATTTATTTATTAACATTTATATCTTTATTGAAGTGGAACTGCCTTAGTGGTGACCTGGCCAGTACTGGTGGAAACACGTATTGAGTGTTTCTTTCCACTCAGAGCTTGAGTGGAAAGAAAAAATCCTTAGTGATTGTCAAGATTGTTGTTCTGGTTTCATAGTTTAAGTGACAGGTAAATACTACACATGCAATCTGTGGGTGCACCTTCAAAACATAAAGTTATAATCCCACTGAAAACTCCTGTGACTTCTCGTTGTTTCTGAGAGGGACGGGGAGAGGTGTCCTGGCAGAATGGTTCAAAACTTCCCAGGTTTTGTTCTGGTGGGCAGAGGCATGATGTTCTTTTTGATATGTGTCTTTCTTTGTTTCAGAAAATGTGATGTTGTGAACCGTGGGCTCTCAGGGTACAACACCAGGTGGGCTAAATTGATTCTTCCAAGACTGATCAGTAAAAGTACTGGTGCTGAGAGTACTGTTGCGGTTACTATTTTCTTTGGAGCCAATGACAGTGCTTTGAAAGGTACGGTAGCTTTCTTTGTTTTTCCATGACCTGTTCTCTTAAGACAGTTTTACAGTTTAGCAGAAAAGGCAGAACATTACATAGACTTTTCCTGCCACTTCTCTATGAAGCAGTTGCCCTTTTTTCATTTTTACAGTGGATTGTTTTCAATCATTTTATTTGTATACAGTGCCTTCTATTTCTCTCTCTCTCACCAAGTTTTAATATTAAATTTCAAGGTGCTCAAGAATTAGTCATATATCCATCACCTAAAACTGGAGTTGGGCATTTAGCTGATTTTTCTGCCTTTAAAGCAGTCTGATGGGGTTGAGGAAATGAGGGAAGGTAGCATTTGGATTCTTGTTAAGATAAGCATAGCAGCATGCAGAGCTAGTCTAATCAAAATGATAACTTCAAAGGACTGTCTGTATGTCCATGCGAATTTTGAAATTTTTCTCTGCATTCAAGAGAGTGAAAAATCTTAGCTTTTGTTTCAAGTGAAGTTTGAGGTGATTATGTGATCTAATACTAAGATACAGAGTTGCAAGACAAAGCATCTTTGAAAAAAAAAAGGTGATTTCTTTTCCACTGTCCCTCATGTGTATTAGTTGGAAGCGCTGTGTTTAAACTCTCAATGTGTCTGCTTTGGATATTGAGGAACAGCATTTTCCAACAATGCCTTCTGAATCAATGGTTGAGGTGAACTGCATACTGAAAATGAGTGCCCACATTCATACACTGTGGAAAAAGCACGTTACGTTGTGTAATGAATCTGTAAGCAGTTTAACATTGCTGATGCATGTGCTTCATCCCCTAACAGATCTGAACCCTAAGCAACACGTTCCTTTGGAAGAATATGCTGCGAACTTAAAGAGCATGATACAGTATCTGAAGTCAGTAGACGTCACTGAAGACAGGATCCTTTTGATAACGCCGCCACCTCTTCAGGAATCAGCTTGGGAAAAGGAGTGTCTTGCCAAAGGTAAAAGAACGATACGGATGGGCAGAATTTCTGCATTTTACCGGCAGAGTGTAAGTTGCTGATCCCAGGTTGAGAGAGGATTAGCTTCGTGCTTATGCCAGATTGCAGTTGTCTTCCTTGAGTTGATGGAAAAGGACTATTAGCTGTTTTGCTCAACGGCTTTTGGATAAGCTTGTGGAGTAACTACCAACTAATTCGTAACATCCTTTTGAAAGTGCTGATTGATCTGTTCGCGCATAAAACTGACAGGAGTGGCTGCCCTTTGAGAACATGGGTTTTGCCGAGATGTCCTAGGCAGACTACCTCATGTCGTAGCAGCTTCCAAAATAACATGAATAATGGAAGATATTTTGGCATTGTGTGCTTTAGAAAATTTTATAATAGTCACAGCATATTTCACATCTGTTTAGATAAGCAGTAATATCCTAGCCAGGTTTATTTTAAATTTAAATTTAAATTTAAAAATCCCCAGAGAATATCATATTCTAAGGATGCTAATAAAACTGCCCAAAAAAGAAGCAAAAGGTGATTAAATGATTTCTCATTACGTTGTTCAGGCTAACTCTAAAAATAGAGACATAACAGCAGCGCTTACTTCGTGTTACTCAGCTGGTGGAAATTGCCATAATCCCACTGACAGCAGCAGGGACAGTTTGTACCTCCTGAGAGCATGTCCTCTTTTCCATTTGGACAGCTTGTCCAGTTCTTGCGCATTTATAAAAGACTTTTTAGTTAGATTCAGGTAAACACCGAGCTGTCACCTTAGTATTTGCAAGGTTTTCTCAAATGTAGGTGGTATTGCATATCCTGAGTTGTGTACTCGATCAGAGCAGTAACATTTTGCAGATGACCTCATGTTTAAACTGCGTTAAATTAGACTATGTTATTGGATGACTTTCCATTCGGGATCTTTGGTGTGTGGCAGTGGTCACTGTTCAAACCAGATTTTGGACTATATGGGCTTTCAGTCTCATCCAGCAGGGTAGTTTTTACATTTCAGTTGGAAAAAGAGAGAAAGTCCTAGAGAAATACTCACAAATTGTGTAAGACAGTAGCAGGTCAGACCAAACACCAGACACGGCCAGTACTGTGTATGTGACAGTGCCTGTGATCCTTGGGGAGGGTGTAAGGGATAGGTCAGGCGCAGAGCAGCCTTTCCTGCTGTGTGTGCCCAGCTCTCACTGAAGCTGCTACAGCCACCGTTTGCAAAACATACGCTCGTGTTGTCCTTTTGAAGATCTGTTAGGCGAGCACACCAGGAATGCTGCTTATCTGGCTCCTAGCTATCAAGTAACACTTTTAAAATGTTGTTTGTTAGTTCATTTTCATCTTAAAGCTTTCCTTTTTATGGGAGAGGGAGGGAGGAAGCTTGCATTTACAGCATTGAATATCCCAGCATCTGTCTAAGAGATTGCTGTCTAGGGACGGAACAAGAGACAGGGTGATCTCAGGCAGTGGACCACAGATAAAGTATTGTGGGCCCAGTAAGCAGCAACATCAGATCATCTGCCCTCAGCCAGTGTCCAGGAGAAATGTTCTGCTTATTTCTAGTTTTGTCAGATAGATATCAGAGCAAAAGAGAGATGTGAAACATGAGGATGATGATGTTCACAGGAACATTCATCCAGGCGTGAAAAGAGGCGTAAAAAAAATTCAGCTTCCAAATGAGAGTGCTGTGGGAGATAGAGTCAAAGCCCTTACCAAAGACAGAGCTTCTCTTTGTTATCTGTATAGCCATCATTTCATTGCAGAGGGCAATTGGGTTGGTCGAGCACTATCTGGCTTTGCTAAATTTGTGTTGATAGTTCGTTCCTTCTTGTCCTTCCTGTGTTTGGAAATGAATCCCAAGAGGAGGTAGCTCCACGGTCTTTCCCAGCACTGTGGTGAGGCCGAGTGATTGACAGTTCCCCAGGTCCTTTTTCTTGCCTTTCTTAAAAATGGGTGTAATGTTAACCTTCTCCGAGTCGCCGTGGGTCTCCCGTTAGCCATGAATTTCTGTAGGTAGTAGGTGTTGGCCTCACCAACGCAACAGGCAGCTCCTTCAGCCGAGTCCCACCCACCCAGATACATCTGCCATCTCTGAGTATCCCCGAACCCTTTGCTCCCCACTGTTGGCTGTCCTCCTTCCCAGGCTGAGTGGGTACATGCAGAGGTCGGGGTAAATCACTAGGTTGCCTCCTCAGTCCTTCAGAGGACCCCCATATTCCCCGAGCTTCCTTTGGCTGCTGCTCTTCACTTACAGACCCAGCACGTTGAGAGCAGGCATGTGTTTGCGTGGCAGCGTGAGGAAGTGGGAATCATCATCAGATGCAAGGAGGGAGTAGAGGAGGAGATGATGAATTGCGTTATAGGTTCCATTAAAAAAAAAAAACAAACAACCAACATCATAACTTAATAATATCCTGCCCCAAAGTTTCACTGTGGTCTGTACAAAACTGCTGGCTTACAGTAGCCGGCACTGAGCACATACTGAACGTCCAGCTCCCAGTGTAACTGCGCGCACAAGTGTAGCAGTCGCGAGCTCTAATAAAGCTTTGCGCCTCAATGTACCCCAGTTTCAGCAGCACGTTACAATGAGGAGACTACTGTAAGGAGATGCTAAATGTCTGATGTCATCCAGGAAGCGGAAGGCAAGCTTGTAAGCAGATTTACATTTACTTCACTCTATTCTACATGCTAGTAGCAGGCATATGAAGAGTTTTAAGTCTATGCACTGATTTCACCTGAAGCTTGACAGAAGGTGAAAGCTGTGAGCAGCACAGAAATAAGCATTGTGCTGTGTGCTTTTTGCCATTGCCTCTCTCGCCTGTTACACATCTGTTAACAAGATACATATTTTCAAATGCCTCAAAAGGTGCCCTGAAAGAGACTAAACGAGCTATAGCTGCCATCCACCTAAATTGAGGTGCTTTGGATTTGGTTTGTAACCTGCTCTGTCTGCTGGTGTAACAAACTGATACGCATCATGTGTGCTGCAGAAGACAGAAATCACACTGTGGCAGTCGTGATTGCTAAATGTTTTCTTTGTGTCTGATTGATAGGTGACAAATTAAATCGCCGCAATGCCACCACTGGGGAATACGCCCAGGCCTGTGTTCAGGTCGCTAGGGACTGTGGAACGGATGTACTTGACCTCTGGACACTGATGCAAAAAAATCAGGTATGATGTCATGAGAAAGGCTTTGAAACTGTCATGAATTGTGAAATGCATAGTTTAGCATAGAGGAACCTGTAGTGGTGCATTATCACTGAAATGATACAAAATGTATCCAAATCATGTTTTGGGGAAGGGAAAAAGTAACCCAGAATGCTTCATGCTGGGCTGGGAGAAGTAAAGCTTAATACAACCTGACTGTTACATTTGGTTAGCAGACGTCCCCTGGGCGCATTGCATGTAAATCACCTTTTCCTTGGACTTTGAATCGTGGAATGGTTTAGGTTGGATGGGGCCCCTGGAGGCATCTAGTCCAGCCTCCTGCACAGCGTTGGGCTCACTTCAAACTTCGATCAGGTTGCCTGGGCACCTTGGTGATGCTTCTGACCAAATACCCAAACTCGTCCACGGGACAGAGATTACCGACCTCCTGTAAGCAGGTAGCTCCAGTTCGGACCCTGAATCTTCTCTCTTTCCAGCACTCCCTGGTGCAGTAGACTGTTCAGTAGTGCAGTAGACTCAATATTTTGATTGCATCACTTAATCTTTTCCTGATGAATAGCAGTGACTTTGGCCATCAGAACATTCTCTTAATATTTTAATACAGTGAAAAATAAAACCAGTATAGATACCAGCTGGCTTTGAAGAACTTACATGAAAATTACTCCAGACCTTCTATTTGCAACCAGCAAATACATTAATACAAGGTTTTAACCTCCCCTGTAGGATTTCTCCTCCTATTTGTCTGATGGGCTCCATTTATCAACAAAAGGCAACAGCTTTCTAGCAGCACAACTTTGGTCACACCTGGAAAACAAACTGTCTGCTCTTCCTTCGCTGCTTCCTTATTGGCGTGACGTGGACCATACGAACCCTGAGGCCAGTCTTCTGTGAGATCCCCTGCAGTCACGAGCCGAAGCGGCCGAGCCTGACCACGCCAGGCTGGTGACAAACAGCAGCACGCTGCAAACGCTGCGTGCTTGGGGAACGGGGGAGCGAGGGGTCCCCTGCCGATACTCTTCCGTGTCCCCTTCCCTTGGTCACTGGGAGAATAAAGATGAGACTGCTCCGGGTGTGTCGTGGGGTGGTTTGTCTGCATGCTGCTTGTGCCGGTGGTTTGAACGTCTGTGGGGACGAGCTCCTCTTCCCTTGAAGACTTGGAGGAAGATGGGAGTCTCAGCTGCCCTGTGCCCAAGGGACAGAGGCTGCCCTGAGGAGTTCCTGGCCTAGCTGAGCTTTGGGGACTAGGCCTTGGTTAATACCATCTACTGGCTTGAAACACCTAGGAGGCAGCAGTGTGGAGTTTGTCCAGAGCCATTAATGTCAGTCCAGATTAATTTATTTGGCTGTAATAGAGCAGTAAATGCAGTTACCTGAGCTTTAGCAAGGATTTTGATAGTGATGTGTTGTAGTTCAGAGCAGGGGTTTTAGAGTTTAACTTACTTTGGCACCAGCAGCAGCTTCTTGCATGTAGACAGAGATTTCAAAGCAGTGCGTGATTCTGGGCAGCATAAAACTGGCAGTGCACGTGCTCGTGGTGAGAAGCTTGGATCTTGAAGAAACTACTAGACAGGTGTGCATCTCTGCTGACAAAGCTGCGTCGT